GAAACAATTTTTTTTAATATGTCTTAATTAAATCGTTCCCCTTCCGATACTTGATATTTTACAATATTAATCAATATATTGATATGTTTACATTTGATTGTATATCTACGGTTCTTTCGAATTCCCTCTAAAACCGATTACGCTATTTCACAAATTCGAAATTCTCGGCTTGATCTCCGATTTGCAGGAGGACCTCCTCGCGGATCGTCTTCGTCAGTTTCGCGCGCTCAGCGACGGGCGGAGTGCCGGAAGTAGCCGGGTGCCGGAAGTTTCGCGCGTCCGCTAGGCGAGCAGCAACTCACCGCGGTGATGACGCTGCTGCTGATGATGCTGCTGCTGTTGCTGGCGATGCTGGCGATGCTGATGGTGGCGGTGATGATGATAGTTCGAGGAGGACGTGGGCGACGGGCCGGCCGAGGATGTCTGTAGATGCTGATGACGCAGGTCGTCCCGGCTGGGCGTCAGGTCCAGGTAGAGTCCGGACGCGGCCGAGTCCTGGCAGCTGCAGGACTCGGTGCCGGCCGCGTTGCAGCAGTCCCCGGCCTCCTGGTCGGTCGCCAGGCTCATAGGCGTCTCCGGCGAGTCCACCGGCCGCGTGCCGACGAACGAGCTCTCCATCCAGCACAGCCTCACGCTCCCTTCGTGGTGCCGACACAAATGCGAGAGCGATTAGGCCCGGTCGTAAGTGACCCCCTTCGCGTCGGCGTCGGGAACTAACTCTAATCGACTTTTCGATCTTTCTGGCCCTATTTCTTTTCGAGAGGAATGTACTTCTAACTTATTAGAAATTTATAAAATTTTCTCAAACCGTACGTGGCTCAATATTTTGTATTTTAAAAATTCACAAATTTACATCCAATCCAATTACATCTGGGAGGATCGGAGAGCCGTAAATAAAAAAAATTGGTCCTAAAAATATTTCTGATCACAGTATCAGTGTGTTTACTTCATACATTCCGCGATTATAGATTATTATACAAACATGTTAATCTAGCTACAAGATTTAATTTTGTAAGGGGTTAAACGCTAAATAAATAACGGCCACGTTCTTAAACGCGCAAAGCACCATGGAAGAAACTACTCGTGCATACGTGTTATATAATACCCAGAGGGGATTTGTAATCTCTTTCGTTATAAGGTTCTTCTGACGATTAAGATCCGACGATGCGGGCATTATACATAACTATCTTCATTGATCCTATAATCGTCTTAAGTACTAGTAGCGCTGTATGGGTATTGCGAGACGAATAACAAAGAGAACAAAAAATAATAAACTGAGAGAATGCAACAGCGTAATCATACTATGATTATACACGACCGTATTGCATCTAATTACATTTGAATTTTATACAACGTTAAGTATGACGTTCATAAATCTTGGGAAAAAAAAAATAACGTTAGTGAAGCTAGCACCAGAGTTTTGTTAATAGATAGTTATGTGAAAAATATTTAAGTAAGCAGCAAGTTAGTTCCATTATCTGTTATCAAACGTATTAGGGTTAGTATCATAAGCGTTAAGTTCAAATGCGCGTCACAGCAGCACATCGGGAAGATATCAAGTCGATCAAAGTTTCAGTGATAAGATAGGGCTTTGCAATTTCGATTTCACGCAAAGCTTTTCAGCTTGTCCTCGTCTTTTTCAATTTAGCCCCGATATTATATCTCGCTGACAACTTGCTCGCGAATTCGCTCGCACTGAAAAGATGAAGGGAGGAGGAGAAGAGGTTGTTTGAATTTCAGGGTAATCTATTTCGGTGGCGACGGTCATGAGACACTATCGAAATAGCAGCGACTCGTCTCGACGAAACGACTCGAGTCGCAGCGTAGCGCCGGGATTGTCCGAGATGAGAAGGTCACGATCCGCCAACCGGCGCTGGCTACAATCTAGTAGTCAGCGACACTAGACTTCAAAATCAAGCGACGCATTGTCGATCGCGCTACCTTGTAGCGTCGCAAGTCGACAAGCGTAAATCCCAGTTGCTGAAGGGTGAACTTTCTATAATAAACGATTTCTGTAATAAACATTCAAATACCAAATGCTGTTTCGCGTTTCTATTATCTCTAATTTCCTGCAGATCAGAACCGTCAGGATAAGTCTAGTCAAGAAGAGTAGAGTCAAGAAGATAAACTGACGTTCCTCGTGATAATCTTGAAGGCAGAAGTGCTAAGGGCACTTCCGATATCAGATCCGTGATGGGTTTAATGAAGGATCATTTGACGCCGAGATTGAACGTTTACATCCTATTAATGGATTTATTTATAATCTGAAGCGATACCGGTCGCAAGATGCCAGAGGATGTGCATCGCAATTCGAAACGCGGAAGATATAGACTGAGTACTTGTAGCTTGACTACTTGTACCGTGTTAAAGTGCGACACGTGCATGCGCGCCACTTGCAAGAAGCACTCTCGCAAGCCGCCCATGACTTGCACTTAGTGCCTCAGTGGCGAACGAGAAGAAGAGTCTCCGTTTAGACATTTAGACAGTTTAGAATTTTGCATTTTAATACACGGCGATTATCGCGATTATCGCCGTCTTTAAATTGTATTTTTGGTCCCGTGGGTATATCTAACAAAATAGATTCGCGCGTGACGACAGTTTTCAATTAATTAAAAATTCTATAATTTGAATTCTCATTAGTGATCCATTAATTTCCATTAATTCGAAATATAATGAGATTCACATATGTAAATCTCAATAGTATAATGTTTTACTAAAATATATGATATAATAATTGGAGTTGAAATGGAGAATTCTAAGGGTGCTCGAGTTACGAGAAAAATATTTTGGGACGCGTTTCTAAGCAAATCCAACGCTCTCTCAAAAAATTCGACCCTTAAAATTCTTTAATCCGAGAAATCGAGGGAGAGGGGGATGTTAAAAATGTTAAAGACCGACCTGTTTTGACCTTATCGATGCGCAGAGCCAGTTGATGCATACAGAGACAAAGAGAGAGACAGAGACAGAGAGAAAAAGAGAGGCAGCTTGCAAAGGAAGATAAAAGAAGACATTAAGAAAATAGGAAAACTCAAAAATTACCTTCGTGACGGAGAGCAAAGGTGATGGTGGTTGTGATGTTGATAGGATGGTATATATTTTTTTTGTGTGGCTGGGGGGGTGCTTTAGTGCTCACCTCTGGGGCTGGTAGACCTCGCTCCGCCCCTGTCGTCCCAATCTTCAGGTCGAGATCGAGGCGAGAGTCGGCCGCCACCACCTCCACCGACCTCCTGGCCGCTCTGCACGTAGTGCACGATGGCCGAAGTCACCTCCTTTATCGAGTTCCGTACCTCCAGCTGCTGATTCGTTGTCTGTTGCTGCTGCTGCTGTTGCTGTTGTTGCGAAATAAGCATGAGATCCGTTCCAGACAATTAAACATTTATTATAATACCAGCCAGGACATTAGCCATCGTTAGATGGTACTTTATTTCGATTTTAAGAGATTATTTCGATAAAAGCAATCTTACAAAATCTTCTAAAAATTATTTGTCAATTCATTCATTGTTTCGAGTGTTTGGAGGATTAAAAAATCATTATCAGGATTATGAGTAGTTAATCGAAATAACTATAAATATCTTTTAATATGTAATTAATAATTATCACTTTTCGGCATTATAATATTTATATAGGTTTCTATATAAATTTTATGATAGGTTTCTTAAACGTGTTAAACTTCATCGAGGAAAAAGCTTTAGAGTATAATAAATCCTTTAAAAATGTATCAACGTGAAGTGTTCGTCAGGGAAGAAACCTCGACAGATACGAGATGACAGGAGCTTTCCTGCCAGAATTTCTAATTTTAGAAACCGGCGACGCGCTTGCGTGCTGCTCGCGGAAATTAAAAATAAATTGCACAAAGAGCAAGATGCAAATCTCGCGGAGGGGTCAGAGAGTGGAATGAGAACGAGTCCCGGGGGTGTCGCGTCGTCTAGTTTTCTTTCAGAATCCATGAATAAATACGAATATATGAGTGCGTGAACGCGTAAATAATTCAACATGTAACTCACAGATTTACACAATCGCGCGAGTATTGATTTGTGAATACGCTAGAATTCTAAGGCCTGCTGACGCAAAGAAAGTTGTGACGTTAACGGTGACGTCAATAATTTCCATGGGACATTTTGTACTTGCTGGGTGGCGCGTTTGCGGCGAAACAGACGAGGGAAAATTGCGTTAAGTGGCGGGTAAACGGATGGGCGATTTTAATTTGCCCTAAAATTAAATCCCACGGTAGAAAATTGCAAAAATCTGATGAGATAGAAATGACAAAAAAAAATTCAAGTGACAGTAGGAACGGGTTGTTTGTCTTCTCGTCGCGCACTTACCTTGTTTGCGGCCTGCAGCTGGGGAAGAATACCCTGAGCAAGACGTTCCGCCGGTGTCCGCGGGTTGGTCAGTCGCTCCTGAGAACGCCAGCCCAAGTAGGGCTGCCGGTGATTGAAGGACGACCTGGCCGAACTCGCGGGCGAACTGCCGGCGCTGTTCAGCAAGCTGGTGCTCCATCTCGAGAATACGGGAGGCGTGGGACTGGGACTCAGAAGGACACCTGTGACACAAGAGAAAAACGTCCATTGCATAATTAAGCAATTAAACACATCTGTAATTATTTGTGAATCAAGAATTGGACATTGGGGACCAGAAATTCCCTCCCTTTTCTTAATTTATCAAAAGTTTCAAGTTTATAACTTTTTCTTATAGAATTGATTATATTTCATTGCTGGTTCAAAGATGACTCTATCTCACCTGTGGTCGGCTGTCGATTGGAAGACGACGAGAGGGACGACAGGGAGGTGGTCTTGGAGCCGAGGGCGCGCCATCCTCCATGCTGCGACGCGTCGGAGTGCCTCTTCAGCCGGAAGCCGTCGCGGGCAGCGGGTGAATTCTTGTACCAGTCGGGTACATTGAGCCGCTGCAACGACCGCTGTACCCTAAGCTCATGCTCGCTCGGCACGCGCTCGCCCACTTTCTGCAGCTCATTCTCCGGCGGCTGCAATGACAAATTCGTGTTCGTATCCTTTAGTTCCCTCTGCGTCCAATTATGGGCGATTATGAGAACTTTTGCGATAAATTGAAAGAAATATTTCTCGCTCACGTAAGTTCGAGAATCAAGAAATGTGGATAATAATTAGAAAATTACCAACAGAATTTTAGAACAATAAAACGATAGAAAATTCGAATAAAATGGAATTAATAATGAAATTTACGATAATTAATTTTAATCCTTGAACTTAAATGGCTCATGGATATTTATTCATCTTCAATCTATGTGCAATCTACGTGGTGCTATATCTGTATTACAAATAAATAACTAATCTAGTTCCTACAAACGTTTCCGTCAAATTGTTCGTCGTAAGAGAGAGCGACTTGGACGAAGAGCAGGCGCGAATGTTTCGGGACACTCGGTGACGTGTGGCAGTTGTGGCACACAGAGAGCATGTGGTTGTCGTGCGAACTATCGTGCGAGACATCAATCCTGCTCTGCGAAAGTTTCAGGGACAAACCTGCGCGAAGGTCGACGCGACGAGGCCCTCGTCGCAGCTTCTCGCCGCGCTCTCGATCAAAATTCGACACGCCGCGCTATTAACGAACCCGTGAGCCGCTGTCATTGTGTCTCGCAGTCGCTTCTCGATCTATAATCGACGATGCGAGTCCGTTGAGAAGCGATTATCGGATCTGGGAACGACACTCCACTTTATTCACGGACTTCTACTCTTCAGAGCATTTTCAGACGACCGAAGTTGTAGTCGCTAAGATTAAGGTAAACGTCCCAATAGCCGGACGTCTAACGATGCTAGTTCGATTTTGTTTAATTTTCATAAGTACTCACGAGTTTTACTAGTCTAATTATGTATCCAAATGAAAGGTGGGATATAAGAGCTTACTATTAACCCATAAAAGACATGAAAAGTATTTAAATTATTATAATAATAATAAAAATTGTAAAGCATACAAATGTACCAGTATCCGGACGCGAGGAAATGCTTGTCCCGATTACTAAACTTCTTCGACCCAATATCCGGACACGATAATCATCCAAATAAAATGAAATAATTAACGATTTTAACACATCCTCTGTAGCTGAAGCACGAGTACGTGTCAATTTTGAGCTACTCTGAGGCACAATTCTGGATAACGTCTACAGAAACCTTCATATACCAATGTCTACCGGACTTGTTATTTGACACTAACGAAAGCACACTATCGAGCAGCTGATTTCTACTAACTGGGAAACCTCTATCACAGCAGTAGATTATCCATTCTGTTATTCTTCTTTCGTTATCCTCTTCTTTCGTTAAAATAGTCGGTGATCCTTTAGAACACTTCACAGGATAGATATTTTTGGATTTGCAGTAAAACGTGCTTCTCGGTACATTATACTTTTGTGTTGCCTCTCTCAACGACATGCCATTTTTTATGTCTTTCAAAGCAGCATTTATATTTTCTTGTGTATATTTCTTTTTTATTAT